GGGTTTCACCAAGGTATAATAACGTGATAACTCAGAAATCATCTCTGAAAGAAGAGTCATGGTGTTAAATGTCCTGAAATATTTCTAAATAGTCAAAATGTTTAAAATATTTTGAAAGGCAGTCCTTTTCCCTCAGAGTTTTGGATCTCTTAGAATCAGAGAGTCATTATTCTTTCTTGTGGTATATGCAAACTGGAAAATTCCCAAGTTAAACAGGAGTTACATAATTTGATTAGGACTATCAATAACCTAAAAGAATATCTGAGTAATAGACTGACCATTAAGAACTATTTTTGGAGGAAAATACTTCTACTAATTTAATAGTACAATGCTTATACTAAGTTCTACCAAGTATAATTTAGTGACACAATACTAAATAATAGGTTCAAGCAAGAAATTCTCTAGATGTATACAATTAAGACCTAAACTCTTTTTAAAACAGAGAACAAATTTCAAAATAATCAACCTGTGCATACACTTCACCTTTAGTGGTAAATACCTATGTTAGGATTTATTATGTTGACTGTAAACAAAAAAATCAGCCAGATATCTGTCCAGCAAAGTGGGTTTATTTTAGAACAGCAAGGAACAATCCAGTACATGCAACCACAGAGAGTCAGATACTTCTTCCCTTTACTCTGCTATTTTTCTGTTCTATTTCCTCAACAAAGGAGAGGAAATCCCTTTATAGAGGCAAAAAGTAAGTTGGGAGGGGTTATTACAAAGGATTTCCTGTTGTGCTTTGTGAAGGACACAGGGCTTGAGAGCTCCCCCTTCTGGCCTCCCTACTTCACTTTAAATGAGGTTTCTGTTAATGAATTTTTTACAATTATCAAAAATTCTGTTAATGAATTTTTTAATGTAAACTAAACGAGACGAGATCAATGAGGATACCAAACATTTCTTTCGTTATTAATACTATTCACTTGTAATATTACTAGTGAAAACACAGATTTAGAAAACATATTTTGCTGATAATGTAACAATGTAAAGAACTTAATGCTATAGCTATTCCACTTAGAAACCTAAAATTAACAGGATATGGTTTAAACAAATGAAAATAAAATAAATCCAGGTATTTCAATACTGATTTAAAAAATCGGGTGATAAATATTGTTCCGATATCTTAAGTATTAGTCGATTCACAGGAGGGATTCTCCCAAGCATATTCTTACCATCGGGAGATGGCTACTTCAGTATTAGGCTATAAAACTGTTATGAATTTATAATTCTCACATAGCAAAATTTAATAACTAAATACCAAAGTAGCTCCTCTATATTATAATATCTAGTTTTGACTGATGGTAAACCCTGTAAGTTTTTTGGTTTTGTTATAGTGGTTGTTGGTTTGTGCTTTAAACTCAAGAGAATAGAAATACCTTTTGGCACATGACATAGTGCAGAATCGTTTTGACCGAAGAAATTCATTAGCATATCCCATCTTCCCGCAGAATTCACACTTAAGCAACTCACTGTCCATTTCTTCTAACGTCTCTAGAAAAGAAGAAAAGGAAAAATCTTACAAAAATTTAATTGTGGAAAATTTTCTTTTAGCCTTAACTTTGGCTGGATGCTGCTAGTTCAGATCCTCCAGGAAACTTAAAGGAATGGGTCTTTTAATTTTTCAATCCACAGCCACTTTGGCAAGGCAAAAGCCTCCAAAAATGACCACCTCTACCAATTCCCTTTTTCTCCTGCATAAAAATTTTATGGAGTTTTATCTACATAAGCAAGCAATACATTTTAAAGTTTCATTTTGCTAAGACTCCAACATCTCAGAAATGTGCAAATAACTTTATTAAGCACTATAAGCAAAATTAAAATGAATAAGATAGTCAGTACACTGCAGGAGGAACACTTTCAAAAAGCACCGTGTGGGATATGAATTTGGTATACTGTGCTATGGAGATATACAGAAGAGAACATTTAATTCTAACTGGAGAGAATGAGGATGACTCCAAAGAAGGTAAAATTTTGACATGTCTGATTTTAGAAGAACATGTTAAAATAATTAACACTCTCAAAGATCCACAGTATACAAAAGAATATATAAAGATGTATACATCTAATTATAAAGCAATCCCAACTTTTAGTTATATTAAAACAAAAATCATTTAATCTTTAAAATCACAAATAGTTTTGTGATTTCTAACCTCTGCTCCTTTTGATCAGGATGTTCTCTATTAAGTTAGAGTGTCCTTCCTCCACCTGTACATCCATAACTTTAAGTCATCCTACAGGACCCAAAGAAACTTCCTCCCTAAATCCTCAGGTATTCAGCAGCAATCACCTATAAGCAAGCAACTTAATCTTCATGACCCACAGTTTTCTCATCTATAAACTGGAGTGTATAATACCTTTCCCAAAGAATTGCAATGAAGATTATATGAATGCCCAAATTAAGTAGGCATAAAAAAGTGAGAGTTCCATTTCTTGTTTTCCCCATAAGAACTAAGAGTACCAACACCTGTAATAGTGCTTAGGAAATACTTCAATGAAAACTGTTAAATTCTTAAATCCACCATATTTTCCCATTTTCTTGCATCCTCATAATTTCTATCCCAAGTCATAAGAAAATATGCAAAAAAGCACTCCACTAACTAAAGCTTGTAGCTGTGAGCTCCATATGTACTTTCCTCTGCTATTTATTTAACCAAGATTGTTACGATGAAGAAAGGGACTCTCAAATGTAGACCTGGATAACATGTACTCAATATCAGTAAGTTCAAGCACTCATATTATCCTAGTGTTATTGGAGAAGGAAATGGCAAAGTGCTAAATCAAATGAAGGCAGCAAAAACTACTAAAAAACATACTGTGAAATAATATTTGAAGTTCCAAGGGATATCCAAATACATTGTCATGACTGATCAAATCATGAACTGGCAAGTGATCGTTTTAAGGAAATTTTCAAGACTACCGTCATAAGCAAAAGTCATCTATTTAGTAGCAATGGGGAAGAAATAGCCTCAAAACAGGTAAAATAAAAATTGCTCCTTCCCATGACCTAGAGATGGCTTTAATACAGCTGTGGGCTTTAATACATTCCTGGGACTTGATGTCCTAACTTCCAGGAGTACGGTTTTAACTTTGTTAAGCATGTACCCTAACCTGACCTTGACAAGCCTATACCAGAGACAGAATTTCTCACTCAACACCACTGCCACCAATTCAGTCCCAAAGATTCCATTCTTCAAGTAGGTTCCATTTTCAGACTATACTAAAAGCTCTATTTCAAGTTTTTATTAATGAATAAACAATATGCAACACTTGATGATAAAATACCTTAAGAAGGAGAAGGAAATGTTTTTGCTAGTAAGAAAGGGAAGATAGATCCCAAACAAGTATGGTCTAAAGGTTAACAATCTAATGAAAATAGAATATCAGTTTTATTTCTCATAAAGAGAAGAACATTAATAGATTCCAAAATCTGTTCTGTTTGATCAGAATTTTAACACATTTGGTAATGTTACCAAGGCTACTCTAACATTTGTGAATAAAAATTTACACAGGCAAATGAGTTTAAAAACTGTTGCTTTAGCTAATAAAGACTGGATTCTATGGCAGAGACAGCTGGTAATTCTCCAATATCCATTCTTCACTTTTCTCCCACAGTAACAGAATCTTAATTTTTAGCTAGGAAAGTAGACACTGAGAATAAAAACTAGTTTCTGCCCTAGGTATGGCCAATTTCTGACCAATGACATATGAATGGCAATGCTTGCAAATTCCACGTGGTACCCGTTCTCCTGTCTCATTGATTAGAATGTGATTATGAAGATGAACTATCTTGGAAATGAGAGCAACATTCTAGGGATGGCAGAGCCTTAAGATACTGGGAGCTTAGGTGTCCAACATCACGGAGCCGCAGACAGCTTACTCTTGGGCTATATCAGAGAAAATTAAACTTCTATCCTGTTTAATCAAATATTATTCTGGGTCTCTAATGAAGTAGCCAAAAATATAGACTCTAATAAAGATCCCCAATTTTTTGTGTGAGAAAGTTACTTTTTCATTTTCCTAAAGATTTGAGCTCACTTGAAGATCAGCAGTAAAAAAAGAAAAATAAAAAAAAAAAAGGCAAGACAGAAACCATAATCAGTGTGATTTATCAGGGAAAACATAGATATTTTGGCTATAGAACTGGTCCAAACAGAAACATGGTTTATTCTTTAAAAAGAGAATAATCCTCACATTACACTGAATTAAACTGAATATACTACGCTAAAACCACAGCCACTAAATAAGTTACTTCACCATTTAACCCTATAGGACTTACCATAAACACCAAAGTACACAACAGAAACACTTCATAAAATTACCTTGGTAATTTATGAACTATTTAAAATTTTGACACTTTTTATGTAAAAGTATCTCCACTATGAAATAGATTTATTGCCTTTTTGTTGAATATATTTAACATGTTAACACTGTAAACTGAAGGTGTACAACATGTTAATTTGATATACTTACATATTAAGTATAATTGCTGTTGTAACAGTATTTACTACTTCTATCAATTTACCTAATTATTCTTTCTTTTGAATTGTTGGGATAATTAAGTTTTACTTTTTTAGCAAGTTTGATGATTGTAGTATAATACTGTTGTCTATATTCATCATACTGTACATTAGATCTCTATAGTTTATTTACTGCTCATTGCATAAATTAATCATCTTTAAATCTTCCTTTTCCCTTAATTTGTCTGGCATGTTGTCCTATTACATCACACTTCGCCTTGTCTTCCATCAATTCTTTCTTTCCTCTTCCCACTGTTACAAGTACATGCCAAATCTCCGCATTCATCCTACAGACAACAAATAGTTTTTCCAAAATCACTCCTATTCATGTCACCTGCCTAAAAATCTTCAGTAACCATCTCTTGACAACATGATCAAAGCCATGATCAGAATCAATAAAAGATAAAATATATCATTTTTGCATTTATTTGTATTTGTTTTCCTGCAGTCATTTTGTACACCACTGACTTTTATGGAATAGTCACTATTAGAATAAAGTCTATAAAAAGAGGATTCCTTGACATTAAGGAGATTTAGTGGTATTTTTCTCTTTGAACAAATTTAATCACCTCTTTATTGAAGAGTACATCCTTAATACAATTGTAATATCTACCTGATAGCAAACATCAGAATATGGAAAGTCTAAAACCAAACAACCCATGGAACCTCTAAATTTTTAAACAAACTCATTAAAATAGTCATATTTTTAAGTCTGCTTAGAAAGACAGAAAAATTGTTTCAATCCTAAATTTTTAAATTATTTTTATATATAATGGAATCTT